CCTGAGTTTGATTCCCGGTACCCAAAAAGAAAAGAAAATGAAAAAAAAAACTAAACCTTTTTCTTCTTTTTACTTGAACATGAATTCCACTTGGTATTTAATTGAATTCTCATTTTTAAGGAGGCGAGGTTTATTTTGACTTGTGTTAATTGAATTGGATTCTTAATGTTCATGTACTGTACTGGGATGGCTGAAATTAATTTTCTTTAATGAAAGAGTCCCACGTTGTTATTTTGTATGAGTGATCATTTTAACTTTCCCTCAAGTGGAATACATTTCTGATTTAATAATGAAAGTGAGCAAGAAAAGTACTATGTATTTATGACAGTTTAGACTAAAATTCTTCTATTTAGAAAAGAAGGACATTAAGGTATTTTTATTTTTTAAGATGTACTCTTTTTTTTTTTTTTTGGTACCAGAAGTCAAACTCAGGACGTTGTGTTAGGCAGGTGCTTATGCCACTGAGCTATATCCTTGATCCCCACAGTATTTTTAAAAAAGAACTAGATAGACATTTAGTGGAAGGAGAAAATGTGATTCTATAAGCTTTTTGAATATAAAAAAGTAAGTGTAGACGTCTAGTATACATATACCCCGTTCCTCTGAAATTCATAAAAGCTAAGAATATTTTAGTTCGATCATTTACAGTCATCTGTAGCACTATGGTGACCATTTTCTGCTTGTTCAACAAGAGAAGAAAAAGCAGTGGATAGTGTCATTTCTTTAACTGCTGATTTGAGTGTGTGTTTGTGGGGGGTGAATATGAATATGCCGTGACCCCAGGTAGTGATTTTTCAGGTGGGTCTCACTGCTGCGGGCTTGCCTTCCAGTGCTAACCTCAGGGCTGGTAGCTGCGAGCTAGGAGCTCTCCAGGGCAGGGAGCAAGCCGTTGTTGTTAGCTTGTCCATTATTGAGGGTACAGGCCCACTGGACAGGCACTAATTCCATACTTTGTTTAGGATTCGGTGCTTGGCGCTTATTATTCAGAGACCAGCATCATTCCTGACATTTCCTGTGGCTAGTTTTAAAAAAAACCAGACAGATTCTTTTTTGGTTTGTGTGACGATTGGGTTTTCACACCATTGCGTGATATGTACCTCCCTCTAAACCTTGTTACATGGGCACATTACCTGTCTGATGTGGGGGGAAAAAACAACAAAAACCTTTTAGCCACCTGGATTGATTTAGGACAGCTTTCTTTTCTGTGTTTTATCCCACTCCCACTCCCATGGTGGAAAACATCTTCCTCTTCTTTATACAGAATAGTGGGATTCATTGTGGTGTTTTCATACCACTTTCACCTTCCGCATTCCCCTCCCCAGCCCCCTTTCCCCTTCTCTAATAGTCTCCCTTGGGTAAACGTGTTTCCCTCCAAGAAGTGCGTGCCACTGCTGAGCAGCGTGGGAAGGCCGAGTTGCACACCGTGCACAACAGCATGGGTGTTCTTCGGTGTCCTCCGGGCAGGCCTGTCCAAAGACCAGTGTGCTGCGGGGACTGTTGTATTCACTCCGGGCGTCATGCAATCTTTGATCCTTCAAATATGGGCCGGCTGCTTCTAATAGAGCTCCTTTCTCTCTCTGGGTACACATTTACTAAGTTGATTTCCATGCACCTGTGATGTAATACCCATGGGTTTCTTCTGAATTCTTTATGATACTGTTCTGCTAATCTTAGAACTGGACCAAACTAGAGCTTCTTGTGCCCACTGGGGACTGCTCTTTGCCAAGGCCTCTGTACCATGAGGAGGGCTTTCTGTGGGCTGGAGGGTGTACAGGCCGTGGCGTAGTTGCCCCGGGGCACTGGGTGAAACTAGAGCAGTCATCTTTCCTGTAGGTAGCATATAAACCTGTTCTTCTTAGGCAGGTGCACTGGCTCTTCTCCTGTGCTGCACGTGCCAGTTGCCTTGTGGGGCAGGTGACAAGGACGCAGCTGCCCCTCCCAGTCCTGCAGAGATGTGGGCCATGTAGTCTAGAGCAGGAAGCCCAGACACCATGGATCTTTTCCTGTTTTTTTTTTTACGTCTCCAAGTCACAACCATGTCACCCTTTGTAAACTTGTATTTCTACTCTGTAAAGAGGCAGGGGTTTGTCAAGAGGAGCATCAGTAATACCCACTCGGTGAGCGCTCTCTGGCAGAAGTTGTTTTTCTGTAACTTGGGACCAGCTTTGGCATTTGAAGCAGGTCTGTTGGCAGGAGGCTGACTAGCAGCAGCAGGGATGGAGCATCATGTCTGTCTCTCTTGGATTCTGCCCTGAGGACTCACAGTCTGTTTTCCCTGTAGCACAAGCACCCTGTCCCTGTTGAGCGAGTGAGAGGTAAGAGACGCAGTTGGGCCTCCAGCCCTCCGATACATGGCTGTAGCCCCTGGTGAAGACCTCCGCTGAAAAGGCCGGTGAGCCTGGGCACCCAGGTCAGGAGGGCAGGTGGCTTCCCACACAGCAGGATTATTTGGGAGCACACAGGCTGAGTCCCTCCTAATTAGATAACCTACTTGGAAATTTGATTAGCATCTTTCAGATTTTCCATATTGAGGATAGAGTCCCCAGCAGTTTGAAGGCCTAATTTCATGTTTATTTCCACAGTGACTTTGCTTTTTATAGGATTCTGCCAGGGAAAGACTTGGAAATCGCAGGAGATTGTCCTGTGCTGCAGGAAATGATTTGTCCACCTCAGAGCGTCTGCCCTGTTCGTGCGTTATATCCAGCATAGATTTCCATGTGGCTTCCTCCTTGTACCTCCTCACCGCGAGAGCTCACTGCACTCTGCACCCTGTGGTGTGACCTTGTCTTCAGTTTGGGACCCCAAGAGCGTCGTAACCTTGGGTGAGGCGGTGCTGGGACTTGGCAGCTGTCAGGGCCACCACACTGAAGCCTCAGTCCTGAACCTAGGCGGTGCCTCCAGCACCCAGATCTGTGGTGCTTCTCAGAACGAGTCCTTGAGCAGGTGCAACAGTATCACCAAGGTGCACTCTGGAACCCCACTCCAGGGCTGCTCAGTCAGCACCTGGGGCCCAGTAACCTGCACTCTAACTGACCCTCCACTTTATTCTCATAGTGTGAGAACCACTGCATTATAATGATAGACTTATTTAGGAAAAAAAATTTGGGGTTGGGGGGCAGCACTGGAGATCAAAACCAAGGCCTTGAACGTGCAAAGGCATGAGTCATACCACTGAACTACACTGTCTGCCCCTTTTGAACTATATTATTGAGGGTTAGACTGGGTTTCACTGTGCAGCCCAGGTTTGTCCCTGCTTCAGCCTACTGAGTGCTGGAATTACAAGCATTATTTATTCTTTTTTATTCTATTCATTCTTTTTTCAAGGTCTTGCTATGTTGCCCAGGCTTGTCTGGAACTTTTGATCCTCATGCCTCAGCCTCCCAAGTAGCTGGGATTATAAGACCATGCAATCACATCCATCTCTAAACTTTTAGTGTGTTAAATATTACGCAGATCACATGATATAACCTTCAGTCTTAGTTGTTTAATCAAGAAAAGGAAAATCTACACAAAGGCATGTGCATTTATTTATAATAGCCTTAAGCTAGAAATAGTCCAATGTCCATCAATGGATGGATGAGTAAATTGTATATAGTCACGCAATGGAATATTATCCAGCATTAAAAAGGAAGGAGCTACTAATATATCCAAGGCTGTGATGAATGGCAAATTACACCGAATGAAAGCAGACAAAAAAAAAATATTGTAGAATTCCATTTACATAAAATCCAGAAAATGCAGATTAGCTGGGCATATTGGTGTACGCCTGTAATCTCACTGCTTGGGGTTTGAAGCAGGAGCATTGCAAGTTTGAGGCCAACCTGGGTGACTTAGTGAGATCCTACTTTAAAATTTTTTAATTTTTAATTTTTCATCTTTTTGAGACAGGATCTCACTCTGCAGTTCAGGCTGGCCTTGAGCTCACTTTGTAGCCCAGGCTGGTCTCGAACTCGCAATGATCCTCCTGCCTCAGCCTCCCAAGTGCTGGGATTATAGGCGTGGGCCACAACGCCCAGCTAAAAGTTTTTTAAAAGGGCTGTGTTATATCAGTGGTAGAAAATATGGATAGTATAAGTGAGACCCTGGGCTTGATTCTTAGTTAAAAAAAACAAAGAAAATGTAAACTATAATGACAAGAAACAGATTAATAGTTGCTTGGAAATGGGGCAGAAAGCAAGAAAGGGATGGATTATAAATGCACGTGAGGTTCATTCAGGGGAGAGGGAGACATGTTTATTTTGAGGCCATCGTATCTTGGAAAAAATATTTATGTTAAAACTTGGCAAGTTATATACTAAGTCAGATTATCAGTTTTTACATCATTTACATCTCAACAAAGCGGCAGAAAAATTGTAAGTGTGATGCTTACCTGGGAAAGGCAGGGGCCAGGTAGAGAAGACATTTCTGAGGTTCACATGTATTCATATTAGTAAATGAGTAAAATAAGAGGATCAGAATTTCAGATTGTCCTTCTGAACACCAGCACTGTTGCTGGCCTCAGCCCTGCTGTCCACAAGGTAGCTGCATTGCCATATCCAAAGACATTGCCCCTGGCCACGCCCACAGCACCCGGAACTTTGCTGGACCTGCCCTCCGCTGAGTGTCGTAGTCACAGGCCTGCTTGTCTTTCACTGCTTCTTGGTTGGCACCTCTACTCACTGAGGGTCTGCCCAGTTTCTTGCACTTCTGAGTTTACTGAGGGTACCAGGAAAAAACTCTGGCTGTTTTGCATCCCTTACAGGTCCTGTGATCCTTCTGCAGTGCCTTACATTTCACTGATGTGCTGTGGTCTCTGAATTACCTTTCAAAAATTTGTCTAGTTTGTGCAGTGTGAGTTATTGTCATTAACAAAAATCTGAGACTTAGGTTGGTATTTCTTACTGATGCATTCTTTTAATGAACATCAGAAATATGTAGCAGGTCTACTTCCTAAATCTATCCCACACTGTATTTAGTAGTAAACTAACTGGCCATGTCTTTGCCTCCTTGTCTTCCTGCAGATCTGATTTGCATCCACTGTAACCGGTATTGCTTACCTAGGACTTTCTGGATCCAGACAAGGGCTTCAGCGTTCACTTGCACCTCGGCAAGTGAGTAGCTAGCTGTAGCACTGCCTCTACATATAATACGTGGGGCTGTTCCTGTCTAAAATCATTTCAGGCTTCCCTGTGGTACCCAGGTGTGCGTAACAGTTTCCCAGTGGGTATAGACGATAAAGCAGTGATGAACCTTTTAGCGCTTTCAGTGATACAAACAGCCCGCTGTCACATGTGTCCTAGGTTCACCATCACTGCTGTACAGCATTGTGAATTTGCAGTGAGAGAAACTGCTACATCTAAAATCTCTGCAAACCAGTTTTCCTTTTCTGTGGCTACTCAAATAGATATTTTATAGTAAAAACTGAACTACTGAGAAAATACGGACTTCAAATATTGAAGTAAGTTAGTTTTAATTCCAACATACCTCTGAAGCCAGTGGGATTCATTTGGGAGCTTTAGAATTGGCAGACCCAGGGTCAGGGCAGGTAAAAGCCCCTTTAACTTACAGTAATGAACTTTTAAGACCATGACCTTCAAAGTACCTGAGATTATTTCCATGGAAATCACACAGCACATTTCTCAAATGTAATTGGCCTTTGAAAGTGTTCACACATCACAAATATGATAGAAAACAGCTGCTTTTAAACAATGCGCTAAGATGACCTGGCTTTTTGGCAACTGATCCAATTCAGTGTTAGTCCATAAAGGCAGTTCATTAACCATATTGCCTAAGGTGAGATCATTTGTACTCTAAGATCTCGGTCTAGAATTAGGTTTATGAAAATACAGTCACTGTGGCTATGTGAGTAGATGAGAATGCGTTACAGGGAAGGGTAAAATTTCTGGTTTCTTCTTAGTCACCAAGGAATGCCTCCCCTCCACCTTCAGTAAGAGTCCCTACAGGACTGTCCTACAGGAGCCAGCTGAACATGTTTCTGTCATTAACTTTTCTAAAAATAGGATGACAGTTTCCACTTAAGAGTTTCTAAAAAACAGTTATGAGAGCTGAGTTTTACACTGATTTTACATATGGGTGTCTTAGGATACTTTTCCTTTTATTTTTTTTTTTTTCTATGCAATGTAGGTCAGCCTGGCCTTGAACTGACTATGTAGCCCAGGCTGGCCTAGAAGTCATAGCAATCCTCCTGCCTCAGCCTCCCTAGTGCTGGGATTATAGGCATGTGCCACCACACCTGGCAGTTAGGTTACTTTTCCTAACAGTCAATAGAAAATGATTGGCTGTACCCGTGAGAAAATATACGCTAATTAAAGAAAATGACTTTCTAACCCTTTTCCTTCCCATTCCAGAAACATCGCAGAAGATGTGGTAAGTCAATAGCATTTAAAGTACTAACAGTTAACCTGTGTTTTGCAGGAAGAAGACTGACAGTAACTGCGGATTCTTTGGTGGAGGACAACATAACTCTCTGGTTTTGTCCCCGACGATGCAAGTGTGATTGCTGGCATCTTCATGAGCTCCAGAGGTCACAGTACACTACCACGGACTCTCATGGCTCCTCGGATGATTTCCGAGGGAGACATAGGAGGCATTGCTCAGATCACCTCCTCTCTCTTCCTAGGCAGAGGCAGTGTGGCCTCCAACCGGCACCTCCTCCAGTCTCGTGGCATCACCTGCATCGTTAATGCTACCATTGAGATCCCTAATTTCAACTGGCCCCAATTTGAATATGTTAAAGTGCCTCTGGCTGACATCCCGCATGCCCCCATTAGACTGTACTTTGACACCGTGGCCGACAAGATCCACAGTGTGAGCAGGAAGCATGGGGCTACCTTGGTGCACTGTGCTGCCGGGGTGAGCCGCTCAGCCACACTCTGCATTGCTTACCTGATGAAGTTCCACAATGTGTGCCTGCTGGATGCGTACAACTGGGTGAAAGCCCGGAGGCCTGTCATCAGGCCCAATGTGGGCTTCTGGAGGCAGCTGATAGACTACGAGTGCCAGCTTTTTGGGAAGACAACAGTTAAGATGGTACAGACACCTTATGGTGTAGTTCCAGATGTTTATGAGAAAGAGTCCCGACACCTGATGCCTTACTGGGGGATTTAATGCCACCAAAGCCTGCATCAGCAGCCCCTTGAGCAGTACCAGCATCTGCTATACACCATCTGCTCCCCTCTTCCTCTTTCTTTTCAAATGGTTGATTTTCGGTTTTCCCTCAAGTGTTTTTACACTTGGTATTCAAGTTTAAGTGATAGTGAGGGGACATAAGGGGAATACATTTGCTAGTAACATTTTTAAAAACTAGCATTTTGAAATAGTGTTTATGAAAATCTTTAACTGGCTTTTAATCATTTTTAACAACTTGACAGTTTAATAAACTGTTTGGTTCTGCTCTATTCTGAATCCCATGCCTTTTGGCACCATGGCAGGTACAGAAGGAGTTCAGTCCAAAAAAATCGCTGAGTCCTGATAACTCTTTAGGGACAAGCTTCGCCCAAGGCTGCTCAGCACACAGATGCTTAGGGGAGATCGACACCAGCTTCAGTCTCTACTGGATTAGCCCTAGTCTTTCCTTTGTCCTTTATTATTTAGTGACTAAGTTAACATAAGTAAACCTTTATTATTTAGTTGATAAGTAATTATAATGAAATCTACTGCAAAGACTCTCTTGAAATCAATGTGTCCCAGGATTATATTAGCATTATTTTTAATAAATATATGTGCTTAACATAGAACTTGTACTAATAATTTCATGGTAGGTATGTGCACATGTGTTGGCGGAAGAAAGATGCTCTCCAAAAACTACTAAACTGTGGCTCTTGGAACAATTATTAGCCTTACTTAAAATAGACCCCAGCTGAATCGTTTAATGTTTTGCATCCTAGCAGATGGGCAGACATTAATATTCACATGTTGGAACAGTGCAAAACAGTGTGTAAGCCTTTAAAAAAGTACTGTTTTCAGAGTTCTCCTGGTTAGGTAGAATGCACCACCTCCTTCATCAAATAGTTTAACAAAAAGTGTGCCTCTACTTGACTGTTAACACACAAGAATGTTCTAAACCAAATCTCAGTGTATGTGATAAGCAGATAAGCAGGTGGGCTGGGTGTGGTGGCCCACGCCTGTAATCCCAGTTCTCAGGATGCTGAGACATGAGGATCACAGGGAGTTTGAGGCCAGCCTGGGCTACACAGTGAGTTCAAGGCCAGCCTGAACTACAGAGCAACACTGTTTAAAAAAAAGTGATACAATGGATTTTTTTTAAACTTTTGAAATGTCACCCAGTTTACTGTTCCCCGCAAAATCTGACAGCACAGCCCATCCGGGATGGAGCAGGAATTCATGGCCTCTTCTCTATTCACTCTGCTAGGAAACTAGTGGGTACCGACCAGTAGTTGCCCCTTTAAGACAAGAGAGCCACCTGAAGCCTGCACTACCCAGTCAGAACCACTGTGACAGTACCGCTTTATTTTATTTGCCAGGAGGGCTGTAGCTTACTTATCCAGTGAATACTTTTCTAACTTTATGGCCTGTTTAAATATTGCCAGTAGTTACTTATTTAGACCATATTTTTTTTCTGTGCTAGGGATTGGACCTAGGGCCTGTGCATGCTGGGCAAGTGCTCTACTACTAAACTATATTCCCAATCCTTTTTGTTTTTAAATTTTTCTTTCTTTTGAGGCAGGGTCTTGCTAAGTTTTTCAGGCTAGCATTTTTTGTTAATTTTTTTTTTTATTTTTTTTGAGACAGGGTCTTACTATGTAGTTCAGGCTGCCCTTGAACTCACTATGTAGCCCAGGCTGGCCTCAAACTCAGTAATCCTTCTCCTCGGCCTCCTGAGTGCTGGGATTACAGGAGTGCACCGCCATGCCTGGCTGCACTGCATTCTTCCTACCTCACTCTCCAAAGTAGCGGGTATTATAGGCATGTGTCGCCACATATGATTTTGCCAAATTATTTCTTCCAGATTTACCTTGGGCAGTGGGTTTCCATCTTAACTCTACCTTTTCTTCTGTACTTTTTGCACACTCTTGTAAATATGTAACATAAAGTAGGAAATTTAAAAATTTCTTTGGGAAATAAGAGGAACACACAAGAGGAAATGCAGCGTTCTTAGCACTTGATCAAAAATTGTAACAGTCCAGGGAGACCATGGCTTTACGAAGAGGCCAAGATTTAGTGCTCAAATCTCTGAAAAAGAGCCCCAAAATAATCATTGTACTTACGGGGAGAAAACAGTTTGTGACAGATATTGCTGGTGGTAGTGAAGGAACACTTCCTGTAGAAATCCTGGCAAATACCACCACCAGGCTCTAAGAGTGTTCTTAGCACTTAGGAAGCCTAACTCCTAGGTGCTTTGGCCCTTGCTCATCCTTATGCTCTGCATCTATGTGAAATCTTAACCCCAAAAGAAAAGACCAAAAGATTAGTAGCATGACATTCTTCTACACTGGTATTTTCTGCTTCAGACCTTTAACAAGTGGTTACTTCAGAACAAGCCCTGAAAATACTTTAAAGGTCAAACTTTTTTTTTTTTTTTTCTGGTACAGGGAGTCAAACTCACGACCTCATGCTTGCCAGGCAGGCACTGCGCCACTAAGTCCCCAGCCCCTTAAAGGTCAAACTTTATTCTGTGTGAACACATCAATCAGAGCAATTGTTTATTAACATGTAAACAAAGGAAAAAAGCCACAGCACTTTTTGAAATACAGGACAATTTCACTTCACACACAAGACAACAAGTTTCACTGTGGACCCACAGTCCTCGCTAGTTAATACAGCCGCAGCTACAAAATAACGAGGTGTCACATGCGAATGCTGTGAAACCACTTACACTGTGTCCACATCAACACAAAGAATGGAATTAGGTAAAAATTTTGTTATGCTGATACTTTGTTATGGTAGAAAAAATATTTGTAAAGTAGCATTTTTCAACGGGGAGCTGTTTCACTTACTAAGCTTTGTTTCCTTGGCTTGACCATACGAGAAGTCTTTTCAGTATTACTGTGTGCACACTTTCCTAAAGAAATATTACGCAACCTAAACCTAAAAACACAGGCTAAATGTTTTTTGTTTTTTGGAACATAGGCTAAATGCATCTTGCCCTGCATTCTGACATTTGCTGGAATGGTCCGCAGCAGGCTATAATGTTCTCTTCTGAATAGCGAACGTCTTTTGAAAACGGTCCCCAGTCTCTTAGTTGTTTGCAAAGGAAGGAGTGTGACCTAGAAGGTGTTAAGGGGAATTTTCGTAGTGGTTCCCACTGCAGAGCAAACATTTCAAATTTCTATAATATACAGCCCTTACAA